AGAGCTAAGCTTTCAACTGAGAATCCTGGACAACAGGGCTTCTAAGGAACATCAAGTTTTGGAGGCTCTTCTTAAGCTGGGGTTTTATACAATTATGCATTATATACTTGTACTGATGCAATTATGGACTCTAGTGGTATGAGGCCAGAAAACTTTGCAGTTTTCTTTTAAAACAGTTGATAGAAAATACAGGTGTATTATTAAAAAAAAAGTGACATTCGAGCTTACAAATTTAAGCTGGAAAGGACTTTGTGTGTGTGTGTGGGGGTTGTTTTTTTTAACGCCAGTGTTTTAACAGGGGCTCTAGCCAATTAGTGGTAAGGAATTGCACTGCCAAGGCAAAGGTACATGTGGTTCGAATCCACCAGCTGTTCTGTGGGAGAAAGATGGGTAATCTCCTGTGTGGCTTCCTGCCTCAGAAAACTTAATGGAGGATCCAACGCCACAGTGCACAACAACAACAACTGGTGGCACAGTGGTTAAGACATTGGCTGCTAACAAAACACAGTCTCAGAAACCTAATGGGGCAGCTCAGGACTGTCCTACAGGGTCACTCTTAATCCAAATGGACTCACTGGCAGTTGGTAGCATCCCATCTTACAGAGAAGAAACATAGCTCAGGGCCAGGAAGTTATTTGCCTTGCCAAAGCCACACCAACCACAAGTCAGTCTTGGATGTGACTCTGGAGAGCTGCCCGAAACTTGGGACGTTTCTCCAACCTCATATTTTCTACTAAGCTGTACCTTTGTTTTAGGGAACTCTGGTGGCCTAGTGTCAAGAAGCTACGCTGCCATCCTACAGGCCCGCGGTCTGAATCCACCAGCTGCTCTGTGGAAGAAGGATGGGCAATCTATTCCTATGCCATTAACTGCCTCTGGAAACCCACAGTGGGCGTTGGCTCAGACTCCATGGTACTCAACAACTACCACCTTTGTCGTGATTCAGATTGGAAGTTTGCATCCACCCAGGTGTGCACTGGAAGACAGGCCTGGTGAGCTACTGAAAACCCCATGGAGCACAACTCTAGTCTAATACACCTGGGGTGGCCCTGATTGGAATAAACTTGATGACAAAAGGCTTGGATTTTGATCATTCTCTGACAACTGTCCCACTGCACTGGGAGGTCCATGAAGAAAAGGACTTGGGTCACCTGTCCACTGGTGCTCTGCACTAAGCCCTGTGCTTGGAGCTATGGGCATCTACATTTGAGTTCAACAGGTAAATGTAAAAAGGGTCCGCCTCACAAGGATGATGCTGTTTGACTGGACCGATCGGAGTGTCTCTCTCCTTTAGGAGTGTGAACATAAAGCAGCCTGCCAAAGTGGGGTACAGTCAGCTCTAATACCAGTTTCCATGGAGATGGCCCCAACTCACGCTGACCCCGCATGTGCTAAAGCGGAACTATGCACACAGGGCTGGCAACTCCTGAGCTCTCAGAAGTGGACTGCCAGGCCTTTTGCCCAAGGCACCTCGAGGTAGATTCGAACCTCTAGCCTTTTGGATTGCAATTGAGCATGTTAGCGTTTGCACTACCTATGGACCACATGGGAAGAAGGTACCAAAAGAGGCCCCTGGAATGAGAATGCGGCTGCTTCACCTCGATGGCAGCATGCCAGGAAAGGCTCGGGGCACCTGCTGCAGCCCCCCAGACTCCCCAGCTGCTCCAGTCACATCTTTGAAATAAACCCCATTACCTGTGAGAGTGGAGGCAGGGACAGTATCTATGTCTTAACACTAGGACTCCTTGGGGAAGGGGGGTGGGGGGAAAGGGGGCTGGGGGTGGTGGTGGGACAACAATTGCTGAAGAAGCAGTTCTTTGTGGAGGAGTGAAAAGCCCAGGCCAGAGAAGAAATGAAAACACACGGTGAATTACAAAAGTTCCCCCAAAAGACTCCACAATCTCTTTTGAAGAGATTAGGGATGGTGTGGAATTATTTCTGAGAACGGTGCCAAAGGCAACAAACGTTTCTTCAGACAGATAAGGATTACTGCTCACGGGAGACCCCAGACGTGCCTGCTTTATGAGCTGAAAGGTCGCTAACTGTGAAAAAGACGTTTCTGATACTGTCCAAGAATCTATTTTTCTTTGCGTTCTAAAATTCCATATATGGAAAGTATCCATCCATCTTACTAAATATTAAATGAGTAAACTTTCATTTCAAAAAGATAACTTATTAAAGTATTTCCTAAGGTGCCCTGGGGTCTTAGGTAGTATGTTGTGCTGCTCATTGAAAAGTCAGCGGTTTGAAACTACCAGCTGCTCCGACGGAAGAAAATGGGCAGTCTCCTCCCTTTCGGAGCCTTGGAAATCTGACAGAGGGCCACGGTGAGTTGGAATAGACTCAAGGGCAGTGTACGTAGGAAAGGACATCATAAGATAATATTACATGTGGCAGCTATGCTAATTTATGGTGTTGAGGTCACACAGCTCCAGTGGTCTGAAATTGCTGGGAGAAAGATGTCTTCTACCATTAAGATTTAAGCCTCAAAAACCTGACAGAGGGTTGGCATGAGTCAGAAGCAACTCAATGGCAGTGAGATTTTAAATTTTTTAAAAAATCTTCATCACAAATCTTTGGTGGCTAAAGTGTCTGGCGGTCAAGGGCGCCAGTGGAAGCACCCCCAGCTGCTCTGCAGGAGAAAGCTGTACAGTCTGCCTCTGTACAGGGTCACAGCCTTGGAAACGCTCCGGGGTAGCTCTGCGTGGTCCTCTAGAGTCACTCAGAGTCGGGAGAGAGGGCAATGGGTTTGGGTTTTGTTTTCTTTTCTTTTTAATCATAGCCAGAATGCTGAAGGCAAAACTTTCCAAAGCCTCAGACTTCTGATTGAATCAAATTAAATTTGAACCCAGTAAATGAAAAGAAAAAGCTTTAGTTCTTTCCAACTCTCAACTGAGTATTGTCAGTCTCATAGCTAAACCTCTTTATGGTAGTTTGGGATGAAAGTCATCATAAGAAGCCATGTTTTTTTATAACATGATAGCTGAGAGGCCTGTGAGTGGGACATTGTTGCTACCCAGTTAGCAGAAACTGGCAGGCATGGAGCTGGCCTGCCATGGGCTGCGTGGCCCAGGCCCATCACCCATGTTAGAATTTTGGTGTTGCTGATAAAACTCAACGTGATTGCTATTAAGTCAGTTCTGACTCACTGCAGCCCTCCTCCATGTTTCTGAGGCTGCAATCTCAACAGTAGAAGACTGTTCATCTTTCTCCTGAGAAACCGATGGTAGATTCAAACCAGCCTCTGGGTTATCAACACAGCTCACTATGGATGATGCTACCAGAGCTTTTAGGTGCTGTTGAGTTTATTCTGACCCCCCAGAAACCCTGAGGACACAGCAGAACTGCCCTGGAGTATTTTCCAGGTTGTGATATTTATGGGACCAGATGCCAGTTCTTCAAACTAATGGGTTTGAACCTACAACATTTTAGATAGCAGCAGAGCTCTTAACCAGTGTGCTATTAGGTTCCTTCTATATTTTTGAATCCTCAGGGAGTAGTAAATATTACAGCAACCTATACAAGAGATAGTTGACACGCAGGTCAATTGAGGGAGATTAGACAGCTTGAGTTTTTTTAAAGCATATATATGGTGGAAAGAACAGAACACTGGGAGTTTAGACAAACTTGTTTCTGCCATATAGCAACCAACCGTGGAAAACTCTGCAGGCCCTTTGGTTAACAGCCTCACACAGTCTGCATTATGCTGTGAGAGTTCCCTCTTGTGCTAGAACAGCATCAGGAAACTAAGGCACCACATACTCAGGATTATATAAAAACAACTCCTGAATATGAATATTATCCATGTCCTCAGGAGGCACATGCAACCAGTGTGGGGCAGACCACCTCTCTCATCCCCCCTCCTGGGTTCTAAGCCCCTCTGTTCCACTCAGAAAAGTCTGGCTGAGAGCTCCTTGCTGGAACCCTCACTCAATCCACCCTTGTCCCGCTTCCTTTGGCCTTCACCTGGGTTTGTATTTAGTATGAAGACGAGTGAGAAGCCATTCTTTTCCTCACACAAAGTCAATGCAGATGTGTTACAATACTCAACAGACACCTTTTCTGTCTAACGAGAAGCCATGCCCAAAGATCAGTGGGGTCTAGAGTGGACACAACCCCATTTTCCCCACTCAAGGCACTCTCCCCACCCCAGCCCGAGGTCCAGCAGGTTCTCTGCTCTCATCTACTGGCTAAATGAATCAATGAATGAAACAAAGCTTCTCCAATCATGCACTGATAAAGGCAGGTGCTTTGTCTATAGACATGTCCCTGGGAAGGTGGAGATGCCACCATAGAACAATGCCTGGGATTCCAGAGGGGAACATTTATATGATGTTGGCTAAAAACTGCAAGTTGCTCAAGGGGACCTTAATCATAAGAAGTGGGCAGAATCAGGTACTACTGATCAAATAGTGTCCCCACAAAATATGTGTTAAAAGCCTATCCTCTGCTTCTGTGAATATAAAATCGTTTAGAAGGAACGTATTACATTCCTCTTCTAAATCTTGGCTATATAGGCTCAGCTATTGACCAAATGGTTGTAGGTTCTAGTCTACTCAGAGGTACCTCGGAAAAAAGGCCTGAGAATCTATTGCTGAAAAAAAATCAACTACTGACAACAGTGTGGAACACAGCTCCATTCTGACACAGACATGGGGTCACTCAGAGTCGACATCAACTTAATGGACAATGTTTTGGCTTTTTTGCCTGGCAGGACCAAAGCACAAAAAAATGATGACGAATAGCATCTACTGAGCTGGACTGGCTGAGTTATGCATTTGCCATAAAGGGTAAGAACTGGAATGGAGTCCTGAGCTTCCCTGTGATGCAAATGTCTGAGCAGGTGCAGACCAAGGTCCACAATGAGAGGCCTTTCTCCATATTTGTTCGAAACACCCCACAGCTCTGCAGATGGAACAGATTCTACTTCATCTACCAACTGGAGAGAGGCTAAAAGAAAAAGTCACGTCCCATCTGCCATGCGGGTCAAGTTCACTCACAGAGAGGCTCATAAGGAGGAGGAGGGTCTCCACAAGGCACGCACTCCATGTCCTGGAAACCAACCAGCTTCGTCTTCCTGTAAAACCTACAACATAAAGGGGGATAATCCTGTTAATGCTTTCATCTATGTTCCCAGCTGAGCAAACAGATTTATGTCATCATTGACGGGCAGTTTCCAGTTGTAGTGTTTGAAAAAAAACATATGTAAAAGTTGAAGTTCAATGTTATTGTTTTAGTTGGTTACTCTTAAGTGAGACGTGTATCACAGTGACCCTGTATAAGAGAGTCCAGTCCTGCGCCCTCTCTACCATCCTCGCTCTGCCAGGGCGACTCTCATGGCCTCTGTGTGTTTTGAGTGCCTTCCCACCCAGGGGGCTCATCTTTTAACATGATTCTAGGTAATGCCCTACATCGAACATGTGCGTCCAGGTCATGATTTACATTCCGGTCATGATCTGCAGTGGGTTTTCTCTGACTGGTTTTTAGAAGATTGCCATGCCTTTCTTCTTAGTGTCTCTTCATCTGAAACCTCCGCTGGTATCTGCACCATCAGTGGTGGAGCTTCCAGTATCCTTGGAAAAGGTCTCCAAAGTGCACTGTGGGAACTTGATAAATACTGACTGATTCCACTAACATGCTGTAGATTTGAGGCAGTATACACTTTTTCTACAATGGGGTGGGGATGTTGATGAAGGAAAGAGAAATCATTGGGTCTTATATTTCTTTTTTATTATTATTATTATTTTTGTGTGTGTACCATAAAATCAGATCTGACTGGAACAGGAGATTTCCCCTCCTCCTCCAGCACAACATCTGGTGGATTTAAACCGCACACCACAGTGCAGCTTCTTGCCACTAGGCCACCAGAGCTCCCTGGTTTTTTACATTTCTATTGTAGTTTAAAATTAAAAAATATAAGAAATATTATTATTAGAAATAAAGTGCTATTGTTACTTGACTTTGACTTGATTGTGACTCATGATGACCCCATCTAGAAACTCTAGAACCACTTCGTCTGTTGTTGTTGTTTTTGTTGTTGTTGTTGTGTGCCATGGGGTTGGAAGTGACTCATGGCTGACCTTCCAGAGGCCATAAATTGTAAGTGAAGAGAGCTTTCTCCTGCAGAGCAACTTGTAGATTTGAACTCAGTGCTTTAGGGTTAGCAGACCCTCCATCTAGAACGGCCCCTTTGAGAACTGCTTATCTAGACGTGCCTCCTCCAGAAATGCTCTGTTCAGAGCCACTTCATCTAGAATGACTCCAGCTAGACAAAACCACTATCAATGTCAAGGTGATTCTGACTTATATCAATGCCTTGTGTGTAAAGTAGAACAGCATTGACTTCCCAGAAGCTGATCACCAGGCCTCTCTTCTGAGACACTTTTAGGTGGGTTTGAACTGCCAACCTTTCATCTTGAAGTCCAGTGTCTGCCATGCGTACCACCCAGGGACTCCTGAATGGAGTGCTGCTTTTTACCACTTGGAATTCAGTCACTGAAAAGGCCCAGGAAACCATAAAAGCATAGGGAAATGTCAGGGCCAGTTATACCACGTGCACAGGGCAAAGCTTTTCTGACCATAACAGGGACCTGGGAGCCAGAGGGAAAGAGACTATGTAAGAGCTGTGATCACGGAATAAACAGGAATGATTCATGAAAGCAAGAATAAGCACGTATAGAAGTAAAGTGTCTTTAGCATGGCTAGCAGGCAAGGTAAAGGAGAAAAAGATTTCCAATCGCAGCATGGCTTACAGTCTATAACTGTGGGTCTTAAAATTCTTAATGACTAGAATATTAAAGAGAAGACAGGATTATATAATGCTTCAAATGAGAATTGCTGCTGATATTTTTAAAGTAATGAAATATGTGAAAGTAAAAATACTAAATTACTGTCTGCTGATTGCTACCAGGCATCAGTTTAACATAAATCCTTTAATGATTCACTATATACTCCAATTACATATATAGTGAATTTACTATTCAGGAAAAAAATCTTAAGGCTAGTATGAATATTATAACTAAAAAGTAGGAAAGGGATCTTAATTCTCCAGATAAGAACATTTAAAAATTTAAAGTTTTTAGAATTAAGACTAAAGAGCAATTACTTTTACCACTTGATGATGTTGTATGAACTAAAAAAAAACAGACCTGATAAATCGGCATCTCTGGGAAAAGAAAAGAAAAAAAATCTGCTTGATGAGTAAAAAGGGTTTTATTGCGTGGAGAAAACTACAGAGAAATGAGTTTGTACCATTACAATTCTGACACACTCATGCACCATAGAAACTATTAGGAGACTGTATGTCCCAATGGGCAAATGCACAGTGGTCAGCATTCACTTATTTTTCAGTAGTCGGTTTGATTTATTACATTTGCATGTTTGCATGCTATAGGCTGTTTATAGTTAGCATCGAACTGTCTTTACCATGAGCTTTTCATTTCTGTGGAAGGTTAAGACTCAAGTTTAAATGGTGGGGGTGGAAGGCTGGGGAGGGGAATTTCCTTTAACATTTCCAATAAACCAAAAAGAAAAAAAAACAGAAAAGAAAACCACTGCTGACAAGTAGATTCTGACCCATAGTGACTATCTATTGGGCTTTCCGAGGCCGTAAATCCTCATGAGAGGAAACTGCCCATCATTCTCCATCAGTGGCTGGTGGGGTCAATGGCGGCTGACTTACCAGTTAGTGGCCTAACATGTGGCCACCTTTTATTTCATTGCATTGGGTCTGTCATGGTCTCCACTGGGTAGTGGACATAGTTAAGCACTTGGCTGTTAATAAAAAAAGACAGACCTGACTCCACCCCGAGGTGCCATGGAAGAAAGGCCTGGCAACTAGTTTGGTCGTAGGGAACAAAGAGCTGACAGGAGCTAGGCTGGCCCTTCTGTGCAGGGTCCCTGGCAGCCAACTTATGACACTGAAAAAAATAGTAGCAGTACTCTTTCACTGGCCTCCATTAACATTAATTGGCAATTATGTAAAATATTTATTTCCTGCTTACTAGACTACAGCTGTCAATATGATCTACATCTCAACATTAAGAAAAAAAAAATTAAAAAAAGAAAACAAAAATCCTTACCACAGGGCCAAAAGGCAACATCAAGATGGATAAAGAGAAAACTGACTTCATAAACCACTCCACTTCGCTTGGATCCACTATCACCATCCATAATAGCAGAAGTCAAGAAATCAAAAAATGTGATACATTGAGAAAATCTGCTGTCAAGGACCTCTCCAAAGTGCTAAAGAGCAAGGATGTCAGTGTAAAGATTAAGGTACACTTGATCCAAGCTATAACCTTTTTCAATGATTTCATATGCATCTCTAAGTTGGACATGACTAACAATGACAGAAGACAAATAAAAGCCTTTGGGCTGTAGTGTTGGAGAAGGTCCTGAATATACCATAGACTGTCAAAAGAACAAACATGTCTGTCTTGGAGAAAGTGCGACCAGAGTGCTCCTCATAGGCAAGAATGGTGAAATTGCACCTCACATAGTTTGGGCATATTGTCAGAAGGGGCCAAACCTTGGAAAAAGTTATGCTGAAAATTGCAGAGGGTCAGAGAAACAGGAAATGACCCTCACCAAGAAGGTGGGCGTGAGTGTATCACAGACGGTGGGGATAGTGCAGGGCAGGCCAGCGTTCAGATGTGCTGTTCAGGGAGCTGCAATGAGTCGTAGTTGGCTTGATGACACCAAACAAAAACAGCTGGTGACACAGGGTGTAACTCTGCCTCCTTTGTGAATGCTATTTTTGCCACAATTTCTCACCATGTACTTGTTGGCACAAATATGGGCAGGCTTCAAGGCTTCTGAAGAGAATCATATGGTCACAGAGTGGGAACCACATGGTCACAGAGTGGGAACTCATCCACTTGTGCCTTCTTCTGACCCAAGTCAAAGTGTGGATCTGGACATTAGGAACACATCTGCAGAAGCGGGACTTTGGACAGGGCTGGTTCTTACAGTAACGGTTACACCAGTTTCTTTGTGATGCGTGGAATTCTTTCTTAGGGTCAAATAATATTCCACTGCATAGATGGAACACATTCTGTTTAGCAGCTGCTACATCTGTGAGTTGTTTCCACTATTCTGAACCATGCTGCTGTGAGCATTCAACCACAACAGGCACATAATTTAATTTCTGTTGAATATGTTGTTGTTGTTATGTGCTGTCGAGTCACTTGTGACTCATAAAGACCCTGTGTACAACAGTCCTAAACACTGCTCTATCCCTTGCCAATCTTATTGACAATGACACGCCTATCCACCTTACCCCAGTGACAAAATCAATCCATCTCATTGAGGGTCTTCCTCTCCTGCACTGTTCTTCCACCCTCCCAAGCATGACATCCCTCTCCAAGGACTGATCCCGTCTTGCAACATGTCCAAATTATGTCAGACGGAGCTTTGGAATCCTTGCCTCCAAGAGCAGCCTGACTTCACCCTCTCCAGGACAAACTTGTTTGTTCTCCTAGCAGCCCATGGTATATTAAATACTCCTCTCCAGTACCACAGCTCAAAGGCATCAACTCTCCTTCTATCATCCCTAGTCATTGTCCAGCTCTCTGATGCATGTCAAGTAACTGCAAAGACAAAGGCCTATATCAGGTGCACCTTAGTCTCCAGCCTGACACTGTTGCTCCTCAGTATCTTGGAGAGGTCTCTGACAGCAGACTTGCCCAACACAATTCATCTTTTAATTTCCTGGCCACTGGTTCCAAGAGTGTTGATTGTAGAGCCAAGCAAATTGAAGCTGTCGACAATCTTAATCTCTTCATCATCCATCATGATATTGTCAATCGGCCCAGTGGTAAAAATCTTTGTTTTCTTGATATTGAGCTTCAATCCATATTGAAGGCTGCAGTCCTTGTCCTTCTGCAGCAAGTGCTTCAGGTCCTCCTCAGTTTCAGCAAGCAGGGTTGTTTCATCTGCATAATGCAGATTGTTGATGAGTCTACCTCCAATCCTGATGCCCCACTTCTCCTCTTACAGCCCAGCTTCAGAATATTAAGTGATCCAGGAAGCATTAAAAGATGATGGAAAGAGTTTACAGAATCATTGTACCAACAGGAATTGGTGGATACAGACAAATTTATTGAAACAATGTATGAGCAAGAGCCTGTGGTAATGAAGGAGGAAGTTCAAGCTGCTCTGAAAGAAATGGTAAAAAACAAGGCCCCAGGAATTGGTGGCATACTGATTGAATATTTCAACAAACAGATGTGGCCCTAGATATGCTCACCAAGTCGTGCCAAGAAATCTGGAAGACAACCACCTGGCCTACTGACTGGAAGATATCTATATTTGTTCCTATTCCAAAGAAAAGAGATCCAACAGAGTGTGGAAATTGAACAATATCATTGATATCACATGCAAGCAAGATTCTGCTTAAGATTATAAAAAAAATGACTGAAACAGCACATCAAGAGTGAACTGCCTGAAGTGTAGGCTGGATTTAGAAGAGGCTGTGGTACTAGGGATATTGTAGCTGATGTCAGATGGATCTTAGCTGAAAGCAGGAAATAGCAGAGGAATGTCTATCTGTGTTTCACTGACTATACAAAGGCATTTGACTGGTGGATCACAACAAACTGTGGCTGACTCTGAGAAGAATGGGAATCACTGAACACCTGATAGTGGTTATGCTTGTACTTGGACCAGGAGGCAGTTGTCAGAAGAGAGCAAGGAAACACTGAATGGTTCAAAATTGGGAAGGGTGTGCGTCAGGGATGTGTCCCATCTCTACATCATTTCTCTCTCTGGAGTAAAACTGCTAGTTGCAGTAATTCCTTCTTCAGCATTTTAAAGCATTGCCATGAAGTTTTCTATAGTTGTTGTAACGTTTTAAACTCCCACTCTCCATTTATGGTATGACATGCCTGTTCATTATTTGTCTACATTTTTATTTTTCTGTATGTCAAAACCTCTCAAAACTTATTGCTGTCAGGCAGCTCTGGTAGCCTAGTGCTAAGAAACTGCACGGTTTAAATCCACCAGATGCTCCACCAGAGAAAGAGACGCAATCTCCTCCTGTGCCAGTTGGATCTGACTTAATGGTACACAGAAGGAAAAACACACACATGAAAAAAACACCAAAAAAAGACCCCCTTATTGCTGTTGAGTTGGAACCTGCTCACAGGAGACCACCCACCAGATATCTGAGGCTGTCAGTCACCAGGAGAAGTCTGCCCATCTTTCTCCCAGGGAGCTGTTCTGCTGGTAGATTTGAATTGCCAGAGAGACACGAAGCTTTTGGGTTAGCAGCCTAACTCCCTACAGACCAGGCCACAAAGATGGCCTACTGGTTCTCAGGCTCTGTTAATATTTGATGGCATTCATCTACGGTCAAGGAGCTCTGGTGGCTTAGTGGCAAGGAGTGGTGCTGCCAACCCAAAGGCATGCAGTTCAAGTGCACTAACTGCTCTACGGGAGAAAGACAGTCAATCTGCTTCTGTGCGATTTACTGCCTTAAAAACCCATGAGAGGGTCAGCTACAAGTCAGTTCTGACTCTACAGTACACAACAACAATCTATGTTGAAGCAGCAATGGTTCAGAGGAAATACTCTCACATTGCTAATGGGAGACCTGACCTGCATCCCTCCTAAGTGGTCACTATCCGTCTGTCTGTGGAGATGTGTGCTCTATGATTCAGAACAGGAATCTACAGAGGAATCCAGACTCAGATGAGGAATGAAGTAGAAACAGACATTGGTTTCTAAAAGTCAGCCAGAGAAGGCCCCACGGGTTACATAGCTTCGGTCATAACTGATCATGGAGATGGCGCAGGACTGGCAGTATTCCTTTCCATCCATGACCCAGGGGTCACCCTGACCACCGCTAACAACGACAATCCTATGTTGGCATGTTTATTTATAGGATGGAACCAGAGTATCCTATAGAGTTTCTAAGACTGGACACCTTCAGGGAAGGGGAACCCCACATCCTTAGTGTGTGGAGCAACTGAGGGATTCAAACGCTGAACTTCAAATTAGCAGTCCAGTATTTAATCACTGTGCCACCAGGGCTTCTCATTTTATTTTCTAACCAATGCCTGTTGGGGTGCTGGCTCACACTAGGCAATCGGCAAATGAAACAAGAAACAGATGTGAGCGCTTGGCAAATACCTCAGGGTGGCTATCTGGGCACATGTGAGACTGGACAATGAGGAGTCAAAGGCATCTATCACCCACTTACCCCGGGAGGCAGTCCCCACAGACGGCGTCGCTGGTGGCGGAGCAGTTGGCCTTCTGAAAACGGTTCACCAGGGCACAGTCGAGACACGGCTTGCACTTCTGGAAGCCCCAGTCCTCCTTGAACCTGTGTGGCCTGCATGTCACACACTGAGCATCTTCTCCATAGCCAAAGCCACATTCCTGCAGAAGAGAGGGAGAAAGCCATTCAGAAGCCACTTTCTGGAGTGTGGGGGCCGACAACAGCTAATGCGGTGTCGTCATGCCCATGAAGGAGGGCAGAGGTGAGTACTACTCTCTTCCAACTTTTAAGCATGCTGGGCCATGCCCTCTTCCCAAACTGCAGTCACCTGAATGAGAGAGAGCTCTAGGAAGGTGGTAACAGCCTCATCTGGAAACTAAGGCAGCAGACTGAATACACTGTCCTGGTCTGAGGGAAGTCACCTCTCTAAATGTCCAGAATCCAATGTCAGTGGGACACTCAGAAGAGCACTATCACTTACTAAGAGGTTGGGGGGGTAGGAGGTAGATTATTAAGGGTTCTAATGATGTCATTTTGAAAGCTAAGGTGTGCCAGATTTAGGCCATGGACTTTTCCATCAGTTGCTATGCATCTGAGAGCTGGACAAAGACGACAGAAGAGTTATTGATGCCTTTGAACTGTGATGCTGGAGAAGAGTGCTGAACATCCCATGGACTGCCAAAAGAAGAAATATGTCTTGGAGAAAGTGCAGCCAGAGTGCTCTTTGGAGGCAAAGATGTCAAGGCCTTATCACATTCCTTGGGTACATTGCTAAGAGAATTTATTCCTTGGAGAGGGGCATCGGCGAAAGAGAGAAAGAACTTCAGTGAAATTAACATGGTGACTGCAGCAATGGACTCCAATGATCAGAGATGATGAGGATGGCATGCAACAGGGCAGGGTTCAGATCCGTTGTTTATAAAGTTGTCATGAGCTGTACACCTAACAACACCTAGAAAAGGTGCACTGTTCACACTGTACACAACTTATCAAGGGGTTAACTAAATATCAACAGTTCGAATCCAGCTCTCCTGTAAGCGTGAAAGATGGTCAATGTCCTCCCATAAAGATTCATAGCCTCAGAAACCTGATGAAGGTCACTAGGAGTTGAAATTGACATGACAGCAGTCAGGCAACACAGAAAAGCAAGACATAGGGAGCTCTGGTGCCTAGTGGCAAGAAGCTGCACTGCAATCCCAGCGGTACGTGGTTCAAATCCGCCAGATGCTGTGCTGGAGAAGGAGGGACAATCTCCTCCTGTACCAGTCAGATCTGATTTGATAGTAAACAAACAAAATAAAAATAAAAGAACTTTTAAAAAAAGAAAAGCAAGATGAGTGTGTAAAAAAGTTTACAAGTTCACATGCCCAGGAATCAAATAACTTACCATTCTTTGAATTTTTCAGCAATTCAGTATTTCCTGATAATAGAACAATCTGACTTAAAAAAAAATCTATGGCAATGAAGTGCTCAAATGTCTCTGATTTCTACACCAGATTGTACAAGACTTTCTATGAAGGAGTCAAATGAATGGTTCTTTGATTCACATACAATCTTTTTGAAAGTTCAAGGACTAAACAGATTATATTGGTTCCAACTGATCGCAACACTGCAGGACCCAGGAAGGCTGCCTCAAGGCTGTGAATCTTTAGAAACACTGACTACCCCATGCTGCTCCCCAGGAGCAGCTGGTGGACTCAAACCACTAACCTTTCAATTAGCAGCTAAGTGCTTAAATGCCATGCCATCAAAGGTCTTTAAAGAAAGTATAGCACACCATGTAATGCAGGTATCATGCAATCATGAAAAGAATGATGAATTCATAAAAAAGGCATAGGCTCCTGGCATGTAAAAAGTAAGTTATAACACAGAATGATATGTATGACCCCATTTTGTGCAAAAAAGAGTAATAATACGTACTAACATTTGTGAAGGGGACTCTGATGGCCTTGTGGTAAGAAATTGCACTGCAATCCCAAAGGCATGCAGTGGGAATCCACCAGCTGCTCCACAAAATGATAACATCTCCTCCTGTGTGATTACTGGGCCACAGTCACGGGTCGGCACACACCAACAATGTGTATGAAATGCTTACTCTATGCTAGGAGCTGTGTCCGTATTATCTCACTAATCCATACTTGTTCCCAAGGACTAAGTATGATCATTATTCTCGTATTACAGGTGGAAGGAGTGAGCTTCCCAGGTTTCCACTTTTTCTATGTATTTCTAATAGTTATGCAGATACAGAACCTAGGACCTGCTCCCAGATTAAAAAACCAACCTAGCTGCCACTCAGTGAACTCCAACCATGGTGATCTCCTGTGTGTTAGAACCGAACCATGCTCCCAAAGGCTTTGCTTACTTTTTCAAAGTACATCACCAGGCCTTTATGCTAAGATGCCCAGTCTGTTAACCATTTGCTCTATCCACTGAGTCCAAGTCTTTCTAGCTATGATTAGAATCAGAGTTTGAACATCCACAGTTTCATTCCAGAGCCAGACTTTCTCCAAGGTACAGCCTCTCCTCCTGTATGATTTATTGCCTCTGATAACCCACAGGAGGATCAGATATAAGCTAGTTCCAATTTGATAGCACACAACAATAACAAAAACAACAACAGTATTAAGAACAATCTTTATCATACTGTACTTTATCCAGAACATACCTGTTTGCTCTTTTGTTAGCCCATGGGATATTCAGTACTCCTCTCATCTTGTTGAATCAACTCTTGCACATGTCTCTAATGCAAATAACGACAGAGTTTTGTGTCTACCTCAGGGTCCTGCTGCTCTAACTCCCTCTGGAAGGCACCTGGAGTAACCTGGCAGTCCAAACTGTTGAGCTGCTGACAGGGCAGACAGTCAAGTCCACCCACAGGTAATCTGGAGAAAGATCTTTTTCCATGGCCATTGGAGAAACCAGCCACTGGACACTGCACACACAGTCCTTGCCTGACACACAGGCAGCCTCATGAGTTACAACACACTCCACATCCCCTGTGTGACCAGGTCATCGACCATTCTTTGCTCCTGCAGAATACAGTTGTCTCAAAAAGTTTGGTTCCTCCTTCCTTTCCTGAGAAAAAGCTTAATGTACTTAAAATCACTGGCAATAAGAGAGATGCAAACCAAAATCACAATGAGGTACCATATCTCTCCAGTAAGAGTAGCAAAGTTTAACAGGGATGCAAGTAATAGATGTTGGAGAGGACATGGCGAGAAATGAACTCTTAATACATTGTTGGTGGGACTGTAAAATGGTAACCATTCTGAAGGCAATTTGGTGCTGCTTTAAAAAGCTGAACATAGAAATTCCATATGACCCAGCTATTCTACTACTTGGAATATACTCTGAAAATATGAGAACTGAGGCACAAACTGAGATTTGCATACCAATGTTCATAGCAGCATTATTCACCATCATGAGAACATGGAAACAGCCCAAATGTCCAACCACAAACGAATGGATTGAGAAATTATGGTATATTCACACAATGGAATACCATGCAGCATGCAGGAGCAATAATTTTGTAAATTATTACCTAACTTGGGAGGGACTGGAGAACATTATGCTGAGTGAACTAACTCAGTCCCAGAAGGATAAATATTGTATAAAACCGTTATTGTAGAATGAGTATAAGGATCCAGGAGTGGTGAGAGAGGCTGGAAGCAGAGGGATGTGGATGTACAGGGGGAAGAAGGGATTAATCATTGGGTTGTACAATTTGATGGGGGTTGGGGGGGTTGAGGGAAACTGAAAGAATTTGTTCTAATAAAATAAAATACATTAATTTTTTTTTAAAAAAGCAAAGCAAGGGAGGGAGCTCTGGTGGCCTAGTGGCAAGAAATTGTGCTGTAATCCGAAGGTGTGTGGTTCAAACCCACCAGATGCTCTGCTTGAGAAGGAGGAGCTATGCCAGTCAGATCTGATTTGACAGTACACAACAAGATGGGGAGGAGGGGGGAAGAGCAAAGCAAGTAGGTGATTTGGTGAACTCATCTCTTTCAAAAAACCTAATGAGGAAGTCTTTATTTCATAATTCCTGACTGCACTCTAGAGTTTCTATTATACATAAAGGCTGTTTTGACCAATATTTCTCACTATATATTCCAGGTGGTTCACACATTACTGTATTTTGTAGACTGGGCATCAAACTGTGTGAGTATTGAATCCAACCAACAAATCAGTGTAAAGAAAAGCAAAACAAAGCAACACCATCAGACTGTGGGAGCCTCCTGTTTTGCCTTTACTCCCTGGATATAAGCTATCTCTGCCTCGGGTTTGTAACCCTTTGTGACAACAACAGAGATTTTTCAGGCGGTGGACTGAGGTGAGAGGCTGAGATATAGGACACTAAAATTGACAGCCACTATTACTGCAAAATAATACAAAATGCATTGAACATGTGCTGTGAGCCACACACTTCCCTGGGGTTTTACTGACTATCCCACGCACCGCCAAAAGAACATACAAGTCTGCCTAGGAAAAGTGCAGTCAGAGGGCTCTTCAGCGGCAAAGATGGTGAGACCCAGTCTCATATACTTTGGACATGTTATGAGGGTGAGGGCTCGTCCTTGGAAAAAGACATTGAATCTGGAAAAGTAGAGGGCTGGTGAATAAAGAGGAGCTTCAGAGATATGGACTGACACAGTTACTTTAATGAAAGGCTTGAGCACAGCACGGGCTGTGAGGATGGTGGAGGCTGGCAGGTCCCACTCTGTCATACGTAAGGTCACTGTATGTGTTGACTTGATTGCACCTAACAATTATTTTAAAACATATTTTCTTTAGTATTTGTCATTTAAAAGACCTTATTAGAAACCTAGCCCAATATTATGTTTTAAAAAAACACAATTTTTATTTTATACTGGTTTACTTTCAAAGTCTGCATACACTGTTTTTCACTCTGAATTTTTCCCATTTCTTTTACCCACCCTTCCCTCCACCCATCAAATCGTGTGGCACTATGGTTAATTACCCCTCCTCAACTACCCTCCTCCCCATGTTAGATCCTCATACACAGTTTACTAGTTTTCTATTTCTACAATAATGGTCTTGTACAGTATTTGTCCTTATGGGACTGAATTAGTTCACTTAACACAATGTTCTCTAGCCCCTCCCAAGTTAGGTAGTGATATTCAAAATCATTGTTCCTACATTA